ATCACCCGGAAATCCGAGCTCCCGATTCGCTTTGGTGCCGCCTATTGTTGCGAGAAACAAGGACACATGTCTACTAGCCGTGCTTTATCGCCCACCAAACTCAACTTCGGAAATGGACTCCAAACTGAACCGCATCTTTAATTTTGCTTTAAACAAGTCCTACACCCACATTCTTATCGCGGGAGACTTTAATGTGCAAGAAATAGAAACGCAAGCAACCGGCGGTTCGCATTTTAAAGCCTGTTTGCAACAGCTAATTGCTAGCCACCCTCTTTACAACCACATAACCTCTCCCACCAGATTTCGAACTGCTAACAAGCCGTCGATACTGGATCTCAGGCTCACTAACGAAGAACTCATGGTTGACGGGATAGTTACAAGCACACCACTGGGTCGTAGTGATCATGTTACTCTACTCTTTGACTATATATGCTATGCGGAGTACCCTGAAAAGGAGGAGGATAAAGTGCATACTGTCACACACTACAATGTGTTATCTAAGCTTGTTAAGGTTACATCTTTGACTTTCTTAAGCCAATGCCCATCAGATGTTGCCTGGGAAACATATACAAGGACGTTTAGCACAATGGTTGCGCACGCATCAGAGCAGAAGTCCTTCCAACCTAAAAACAAGCGCAATTCATTTCTGAGGAGCAGGACACGTAAATGTATGTCCCGGAGGGATTTGGCATGGAGAGATCACCAGGACTGCACGAATGCCGAAACCTGGACTGCATACGTGACCCATCGTAACTTCTGTGTGAAACTGATCTGCACACACACGGTCACGCATCAGCAGGACTTAATGAAGCGATTCTGCACGAATCGCAAAGTCCTGTACAGGCACGTTAACGGCCTTCGAAAGGTAAAGCGAGGGGTTCCAGCACTAGTCACGGCTGATGGGTGCACGCGGTCAGCAATCGAAGCAGCTGATCTCCTACGGCTTCATTACTCCCGAACTTTCCAGCAGGTAACGAGCACAAACATTCTCCTCATTTCTAATACTCCACCATCTGGTTTAGAAAACATCACTTTCACTGCGGAAGCTGTGTTGAAGAAATTGTTATACTTGTGTATCCACAGTTCTCTCGGAGCTGATAACATCCGACCAAAGGCTCTACAGGCGGTAGCTAGTGATCTAGCAGCACCACTGGCTATTTTCTATCAACGATTTCTAGAGGAGAACCGTATTCCACCAGTATGGAAGCGAGGGGTCATCACTCCTATTCATAAACGGGGTAGCCGCACTGATCCTGCCAACTACCGTCCAATAACACTACTTCCCGTACTATCCCAAGTGATAGAATCAATCATCGCAGTTGCGCTGATGCAATACCTGGAAAGCCACAATCTAATAGCCCCAGAGCAACATGGCTTTCGTCAAAAGCATTCGTGTAACACTAACCTATTCATTGCACGTAATAGCTGGACTGAAGCTGTTGATGATGGAGTTGGAGTCGATGTCATCTACCTGACTTTTCAAAAGCATTGGATCGCTTAAGCCATCGTATTCTCCTTTACAAGCTTCAGAATTACGGCATTGGCGACCCAATCCTGAGTTGGATTGACAATTTTCTACAAGAACGACGGCTAGTGGTGAGAATCCGAGAATCATTGTCTAATGCAATCGATGTGGCGTGCGGAGTACCACAAGGCTCGTTTCTTGGACCTCGTCTATTCTTGGTGTTCATTAACGATTTGGCGAGATCAATTACTTCCGAATTTTTATGTTTCGCTGATGATATCAAGGTATGGCGAAGGTTTAGAGGACCGGATGACCATGAACCGCTCCAGTGCGATTTTAACACAGTGTCGAACTGGTCACTTCAAAACGCCTTACCGTTCAATGTAGACAAATGGCGCGTTGTACAATTACGCCATCGTCATAACTACACCTATTCACTTGGGACTAACGGACTGCAGAATAGCTCCCAGGAACGTGACCTTGGTGTGATCGTACAGAGCGACCTCAACTGTTCAAAACAGGCTGAGGTAGCTGCGAAAAGAGGCAACCAGCATGTCGGCATGCTGCGAAGAGCATTCGGGAGATTTGACCCATCAATCTTCCCAATGATGCACAATTCCTACGTGCGCCCGCATGTTGAATACGCTATCCAAGCTTGGCAACCTTGGTTGAAGCGTGACCTAGAAGCGATAGAGGCACGACAACGAAGAGCAACAAAGAATGTGCAGGGTCTGCGCTATCACTCTTACCACCGAAGGCTGAAGTTGCTGGGAATTTTCAGCGGGCGCTATCGAAGGCTGCGCGGTGATCTCATATTAGCGTATCAAGAGTATTGAGTGACCCCAAACACGTATGCCGCTATTTTCTGACACTTAACCACAACACGCAGCTCAGAAGTAACTGCTTAAAGTTGAAGGAACAATACAGCCGTCTAGGGTGTCGACGGAATTACTTTTCCCTTCGGGTTTGCAAACCTTGGAACGCACTCCCAGACTCAGTTGTGTCCTCTCCTACCTTGGATGTTTTCAAAAAACGATTAGATGTTGCTCTTAGCTCCCAACATTTTGTTACCTAAACTCCCCTACTGTGGATTACGCCAAGCATGTTTTCAACAGGATTTATGTATCAAATGGACCTAAGTGAGCGACCACACTTTACTTTTCTCACTCCTTACCTCATTGATCACTGCACCCTAGTGTCTTTCTGAAAGTTTACGCTCGATAATTTATTTTAATTTTATACTGATGTTACTTATCAAACTATTCATCTCGGCAGACGTTCGATAGATGACCCAGACATATTTTGATTTCATCATATTCACCTCAACCATCCTACGGGACGTGTCAAGCACTTGCTTTTATCCCGTGATAAATCATTGTTCATTGTTCATTGTTCTTCCGTTATGCCACTGTAGGAGCCATAAAATATATCACTGGGAATACCAATATTTTCTTCGTCGCGACATCTTATAAGAACGACGGGTTTTGGTCATGAATGGAATACCCAATCTCCCTCTCATAAATTGGTGACACCGATGTGAGTTCGATGCCTCGGATTCAGCTAGTGTAGGACTAGTAAATACTAGTCCGGGACGGTGCGCGAAATTAAGCGCGGATATCAGAAGGCAATTGGAGTCGGACACAGTGGACTGTATTTGATGGGCTACAAAAGGACGCGGATGGATGAAGCAAGACACGAAGTACACGTTATCGCAGGAACTTACAAGGCGGTCGATCGTCGATCCGGTTGTAAGGAAGATTAAAATAAGAAATTATGATGTACAATGGGTCAACAATTAAATAGTACATAAAAGATAGCAGTTCTCTTGTTGGGCGCTATACCAGCATCATTCAGTGTGTTCTGTCCGTTTTCGTCGTTTTTCATTAATTTCATGTATGCAGCTATGACCGACCAGCAACCTGGGTAAATTAACCCCGTATCTACTAGTTGCTTACCGAAATTTTGGATACAATATCCCCAACTTTGGTTTCTTCAGTCCGAGTCATTTTTTGAAATTAATCGCATATATAAGGATGTTTTGAAAGTTTATTATAGGATTTCTAAGCTCCCACCCGAATTATTACTCCTGGGCAGGATACCCTTAAAACAAGCCCATGTACCAACAGCTAAGTGACTCGCTGATTCGCGAGATTAACCTTAGTGAGCGTAAAAGAGTGCAACGTCTACTTATTGAAGAACGGTTAGGCCATCGCAATCTTACGTTACTATTGCGAGCTATGCAAGCTCTTGCACGTGTCAGCCCTCTAGAGAATTTCATCCTTAAACAGATAATTTTGCAAAGGCTCCCTACGTATTTACAACCGGTTCTGGCTAACCCTCATCATGATACCCAACTGAAACATCTAACCATTATGGACGATAACATAATGAAAATACAAGCGTCAACGATCTCCACTTTATTACTTCGCGCCACTGGCGATCCCCTTGTAAGTGCTGCGCACTCTCTGCAAGAGCAACTGGCTTCCATTGCCACCGCCAGCCGAAGGCGCAACTCTCGGTCTATTCAGCGGCGTACTCGGAGTGTTAGTTGTTCATGTGGCATTTGTTGATATCACCGGCGGTTCCGTAACAGCGATCGGAAATACATAAAGCCGTGTCGATTTCCCACTTCGAGAAACGAACACGCTAGCTCGTAATGGCAACGACACAAGCTGGCATATGCGAGCCAGATCGCCTCTTTTATTTGCGGGACGTGAAAGCTTTAATGCGATTCCTCCTCGACGCTGGTTCCAAAGTCAGTGTGGTTCCTCCACCTCAGAAGGACTTAAAGTACTGCTCGGTATACAGCCTGCAGGCAGTAAACGGCAGGCCTATCCGCACCTATGGAGAACGGTCTATCGCGCTGAATCTTGGTCTCCCTAGGCCTTTTCCTTGGATTTTCATTGTAGCTAAAGTACCGACTGCCATTCTAGGTCTCGATTTATTCCAACACCACGGCATTATCGTCGATCCCAAACGCTATCAAGTCATAGATGGCCTAACGGAAATACCGCTGGCTGGTTTCAAAAGTTCCATTATGTCTATGAGTCGACAGCTTGTCCCTCTTAGAGCCACTTCAATGTACTTGGATTTGTTACGGGAATTTAATAGCATGACAAACCTGGATACCAACCTGGTGATGTCAAACATGAGATCGTTCATAGGATAACGACAACAGGTAGTCCAGTTTTCCATCGACTACGGCGATTAGCGCCCGGTAAACTTTCCGTGGCGAAGGGTGAATTCGACCATCTGTTATATACATCCAGCGGTACATGTTCATCGCCCCCACATATGGTCCCGAAAAATAGACTTGCGGATTGGAGACCTCGTGGAGATTATCGGGCACTGAACACCGTCATCGTCCCAGGCAGGTATTCCATTGCGCATCTCCAGCATTTCACATCCTCGCTATACGGAAAACAAATGTTCAGCAAGATGGATTTAACGTGGACATAACATTAGATCCCCGTACACCCTCAAGATGTTCCTGACTGCGGTCACCACGCTTTTTGGCTTATTTGAGTTCTTGCGAATGCCATTTGCTCTCCGCAGCGCAGCTCAGACATTCCAGCGTTTTATGGATCAGGTCATTCGTGAACTCACTTTCCTTTTCTTCTACATTGACGATGTCTTGGTTGCAAGTCCTAACCACGACGAACACTTGCGTCATCTGCGCCCACTTTTTGAACGATTTGCGTATGATGGGGTTGTTATCAATGCCTGCAAGAGTCAGTTCGGTGTCGATGCGGTAGACTTTCTCGGTCACTATGTTTCTTCCGGCGGAATTGCACCCCTACCTGACAGTGTGACAGCTATCACTGAGTACCCCATCCCTGATTCTGCCAAAAAGCTACGTCGGATTATAGGCATGGTTAGCTTCTACAGACGTTTCATCCCGCACTGTTCCTAGTTAGCCCAGCCACTTACCTAGCTACTCAAGTTGCGTGCTAAATCATTCAGCTTTACTGAATCAGGTACACAGGCATCCAACTATCTAAAACAGCAGTTAGCGACTACCACTGTCCTCCTGCATCTTGATCATAAGGCCCCGTTAGATTTAACGGTGGCTGCATCGGATGCAGCAGTAGGTGGAGTGCTACCACGACGACAGAGAGGTGCATTGTATCCGATTGCCATTTTCTATAAGAAACTGTAGCCTGACGAACGACGCCATAGCATGTTCAGGAGAGAACTTCTAGCTATTTATCTCAGTGCACGTCACTTCCTACGTTACTTGGAGGGACCTACATTCACGATATTCATCGATCATAAGCCGCTAACGTATACACTGCGTTCCGTTTCTGATCGACTGTCCCCACCATAAACTATGCAATTAGATTACATCTCCTAATTTACCTCCGAAGTTTGGCATTTACCCGGTACGAACAAGGTCTTAGCAGATGCCTTATCACGGGGGGAAAGCAACACCTTATTTGAGCACTCCCCTATTGGTCCCCAAGAATTAGCCATAGCATAGCATCGGGATGAGCAGTTTCATCAACAACTACAAGAAACCAATCTGCAGGTAAAACCCATCCCGCTACCTTAGAGTTCGGATGTTCTGATGTTTGACGTTTCGACAGGAAAGTCACGACCTGTAGTTCCATCGGCTTATCGGCGAATCGACAATTCACTACACTGTCTGTCATATCCAGGCCTCTGTGCAACGCGCAATCTCATTTCTGACCGTTTTAAGTGGCCGGCACTGAACAAAGACGTGCAGACCATGGTGAGAAATTGTCTCCCATCTCAACGTTCAAAAGTGCAACGCCGTACATAGGCCCCATTTGGCATTTTCACCGTTCCTTATGCTCGTTTCAGTCACGTTCACATGGACATCGTCGGGCCGCTGCCGCTGTCGAGTGGATTTAACTACCTACTTACTTGTACCGATCATTTCACTCATTGGCCCGTGACAGTACTCATCGCAGACATTTCGGCAGAGACAGTAGCATACAACTTTGTGGCTCATTGCATCGCACATTATGGTGTCCCATCCACCATAACAACTGATTGCGGAGCGCAATTCGAATCGACGCTCTTTCGTGAGTTAACTAATACTCTAGGAACCAAGCGAATATGAACTACTGCGCACCATCGATCAGCGAACAGGTTTGTCGAACGTTTCCACTGCCATCTCAAAACTTCTTTAATGGCATGTTCCGACACTACCCGTTGGACCGGAACCTTACCGCTGATTCTATTAGGTCTTCAAACGAGACCTAAAGCCGATTTAGGTTGTTCTAACGCGGAGCTGGTATATGGTACCACGCTAAAGCCCCCGGCTTATCTCGTTCAAGCAATCGACGTCAACTTTTATATCTCTCAAAGTTTGTCCATCGCCTACGTTCATTTGTGCGTGAACTGCATGTTACTGCCACACGCGCGTAAGCCAACAAGGGTTACATACTAAAAGCTCTGGCAGCATGTTCACTCGTGCGGCTACGAAATGATGCAGTCCGCAGGCCCCTACAGCAACCCCTAACCCTAAGAAGGATCATCCGAAATGATCGCTAGAACAGAAAAATACTATAAAATCAACAGAAATGGCAAAGTCGATGTGGTTTCGGTAGACCGACTCAAGCCAGCGTATAGCGAACAACCTTTTGAACAGCAATTAAGACACCCTCAAAACACCATAAGTACGCAGGAATATTCAAAGCTCGATGAAAATGATCCACTATCACAAACATCTAAAGTTGAGCCAAAAGAGAGTAGCCATACACGACAAACGCGGTCAGGTAGAAAAGTTCATTTTTCAAACCGTCTAGCATATTATGGCATCTTGACAATAACGCCTTGCTGTGCTGCCCATCGTGTTACACTACCTGGTGCCAATTTTCTTCCGCTTGTTACTTTCCAATGCTTGCCAAGATACGGAACAGGATACGGGACAAGGTAAAACATCCTTATCGCGACAAGGAAGGACAGGACTGCGTTGCGCAACACTTTCAACTCAAACATCTCAAACATCCTAATATTGATCCCATATCTTTCATTGTATCTTAGCTATACAACATTTGCCTGCTTGTCTCCCAGGTCACAGCCTTGGGCATTTCTTGCTACACTGTACCAGGTAGAGGTCAGTTTTTACCGGTTATTCCTACCGAGTTTTTACTCCTGGTAGCTCGAATCTCGTGCGGCAAGCGCACTAGTGGAGAGGTATGTAGGACCTTTAAATTATTCTGCTGTTTTTAGCTCTTCTCATGCATAAGAGAATTACCAGACATAATCACCTGACCATTGACTCACACCATTCTAACTATTGAAAAGTAAGTAACCAATATACACCTTTGTTTGAACTTTGGCTAAGAACATCCCGCCAGTATCATTGTAGTGTTCCTTCGCAGCCTTCCTCTTTTCTTCCGTTATGGAATTGTGGGGGCGATAAAATATATCATTGGAAAATACCAATACTTGCTTCTTCGCGACAACCTATAACAACGAGGGGACTTTGTCATAAATCGGGTACCCAATCTGCCTCCCATACATTTCCTCCATAACAGGATCAAAAACGAGCTTCAGGTAAGCATGATTCTTGTTGTTAACAGCTGTCTTTCTGCGTTTACGAGATTGCTTGAGGTGCGGTAGATAAAAACCATCAGCACTGATGCAAATGGTTTTCATCAGATAACAGAGATCATAACAGAAGCTCAGGCCACTTGTCATTTAGTCACAATACATTGATACCTTTGTGTCGTAAAACAACCATTACTTTCACTCGCGCTATGTACGAAAGAAAGGCTTGTCTCCTTTTTCATAACCGACCATCGCAGCAAGTGTGGTCATTGTGGTTTGTCTTACTGTAGACAACAGGGGATAGCTTAACCATCGGAGGATCCAAGCTGCTAACTGGTGCCCGATTTCGGAGCAAAAATATCCTCAGATTACTGACAAATACTAAATCCAGGGTTGCTGCTAACATGGTGGAACATTTTCCTATATTCTGTAGCCCAAGCGGTGTAAGGAATATGGTCTTGATTCTATCGAAATCGCCAGCAAATATACACCGGCACCGGTTAATTTTCCAAATAACGGCAGCGGTAAAATCGTCGTAAAAATTTTCTGCGTCTGAGTTGAGACGATTGGTTATTAATGAATATTGGCCAATGAAATGGAGCTGTACCCACTCAGATACTTCGGTCCACACATTACTTGCTGCAGGTATAAGACCAAAGTATGAAGAATGCCACTGCTTACACCGCTGGAAACAATGACCCACGAAAGGTGGAAAGAATGTACCTAATGTTGTGTGAACACAAGATTTAAAAAGAAGCAAAAGATTTTACGGATAACCATTCCGGATTCCATGTTCATGGTCTAGGAGGACGCATTAAAATTGCATGGTGGACGGAGAGGGCGAAGCAGACGGAATGCTGCGCCGAACGCCGCCAACACAAGGAATTCTTTGACTGCTTGAAGGCGGTGTATGGGCCGAGATTGGAGCCGCTGAGGACACTGATCGATAGTAGTTCAGGCGCTAGCTGCACACAGACTGCAGACACAATACAGATCTGGCAAAAACACTTTGACTGTCTCTTGAACAACTGTTCAGAGATCGACTGGCCTAGTTTGAACGGCCTCAAGCAGCACGAAGTGAAGACGAGTCTGGCAGACACACCGACACTGGATGAGACGCAGAGAGCACTTGCTAAGCTGCGAAACAGCAAGTATGCTAGGGCCAACGAGATCCCACCTGAAGTATTGAAACACGGCGGACCCGCGTTGTTGACTGCGCTGCACCAACTGGCGCAACGTGTCTGGATGGAGGAAGAGGTGTCTGCTGAGCTGAAGGATGCCCTTGTGCTACTAGTGTACAAGGATAAAGGTAGCAAGCAATGTTGCACGAATTATCGTGGCATCAACTTGCTGAGTTGTGTGGCCCAGATCATTGCCCGAATCCTGCTCAGCCGTCTCGTCAGTCAGGTTGTGGAACCTAACGTGGCGGAAGAGCAGTGTGGATTCAGCAGCACTATAGATATGGTGTTTGCAGCTCGTCAGTTGTAGGAGAAGTGCAGAGAACGACACTAGCCACTGTACTCTCTTTTTGTTGATTTCACCAAGGCATTTGATACGGTGAACCGCGAGGCATTGTGGCTGGTGTTGGGTAAGTGTGGTTGCCCGCGTAAGTTTGTAAGTTTAATTGAGTGTCTGCACAGTGGTATGCGGGCGAGCGTGCAGCTGAGTGGAGAGACCTCGAATGGCTTTGCAGTTATCACTGGTGTGAAGCAAGGCTGTGTCTTAGCTCTTGTCCTGTTTAATATATATCTCCATGTCATGATGCCTTGTGCTTTTGATGCCGCTTGTGCTTACGGTGTTCGTGTGGAGCACCGTATTGATGGTGGGTTGCTGAACATCCGTCGTTTCGGTACGAGAACTCTAGTCTGTGAGACAACTATCCGTATGCTGCTGTTTGCTGACGACTGCGCGTTGTTTGCACACAGCGCGGATGAGTTTCAGCACATGACTAGTGCTCTGGCTTCGACAGCGGCCAAATTCGGGCTCACCGTCAACACCAGCAAAACTGTCCGTCTCTTTCAGCCTTCACCGGAGGCGCAATCTTCAATATTGCTGCGAATCAGCATTGGTGCTGAAGTATTGGAAACCACCTCCCGCTTCTGCTACCTTGGGATTGTGATGTCGACTGATCATCATCTACACATTGAGCTGGGTATTCGCGTATCAAATGCAGCGGCGGCATTCGGGAAGCTTGCGTACCGTGTGTGAAACAACCGTCAGGTTACCATTGTCAAGAAGCTGCTGGTGTACAAATCCATGGTGCTGTCCATTCTTCTATACGGTAGTGAAACGTGGACGATGTGCCGGCGGGATGTGCGACAACTCGGGCGGTTCCATCAGCATTGTTTGCGACAAATTTTGCGCGTCGGTTGGGGCGACAGAGTTGCTGAC